GTGATACTAAAACATCTGTTAAGAGCATCGTAATAGAGAGGTCAAGCAAAAGTTCAAAACCTAAGAGGAGAGGAATTAAGCAAATGGGTCTGGAGTGGTAAGATAAAATCGATTGATTTTGAAGCAGTTGTAGACTTCAGCTGTCAAAAGTGCCATAGAGATTGTTTTTTCTCCAAATATTTTTAAAGCAGATGAAGCTGGTGAACAAGAATAAATTATCCGTGCTTATTTAGTGAGTATTAAGTTAATTAAATGTGTGTTAAATTAACAATAGGTGTTACAAAGAAAAATATGTTCCTTCATCTATGTCAATGTAGACACGTTTAAAACCGTATGAATTAAATATAGCTCATGAAGCCTTCAGCTGTAGTTGTTAGAGTTGTTTTTCTTGACCTATTGTTTTGTATTAAGTTGTTTAGTACAGTTAAAACTGTCAGTGGATAAAAATAATTGCCACATGCTTTTACAGTCTCCTTGATGGAAATCTATACATCAGTTTTATGTCTCTGTTGAATGCAGTTCTAAATATGCATTCTCCTGCAACCTAATAAAAATAGTAAATAAAAATTATTGTTTTTTAAAATTTTCATAAAAATCCCGCCAAGGCCACAGATGGGATTTTTAAAAGGCAACATTTGTTGTTAGAGTTTGATTTGATTTTCCTCCATTTTTTTGCTTTCATAGTGAGGTTGTAACTCATGGGCAGTTCTGTTGCAGTTCTGTATATCACCGAAATGCTAAAAGCGTCAGCTTGTGGATGGCATGTGGTTGTGTTTGCTTATCTGCGCATATACACAGTTTGGACGTATAAATGTGCATTTCCTCCCCTCTCTTTCTAGTTGGACTGATCCAGAGGTTTCTTGTGCTTCAGATTTATGTACCCCTGGGACAAGACTTCTCCACTGAATTGCTGTAAGATATACAGAACTTCCTTGAATGTTTTATGTGTATTAGACATTTGATCAATTGAAGCAGTACCAACAGTCATTAATTGCAGCTGGCAGTTTTTGCATTAAAGAGCAGTGACTTATCAAGTCGACATGAAGTAATTAAACTAATTTCATCGTATTTCTTAGATATTAGTATAGTCTGACATTTCCCTAGGGGAAGAAAATAAATTTCGTCTGTTAAAGAGCATACCAAAGGATTATAATTTTGACAATAAACAGCCTATAACATGAAGGAATAAATAATCCAAAAGTTTGAGATTTGGGTTGAAATGAAGGGTGATACTGCATTTCACACTGTTATTCAAAACTGTGTTTAGTTTAAAATTGATTGAAATACTTCATAATAATATTTAATTTAGACATGCTCATCATTTCTATTTGCATATAGAAGACTTGGAATGTATTTATGTTTTAAATGGTCTTGTCTGTGAACAGATTGTCTAGCAAAAATGAGAATATGCAAATCAGTTGAGCTACCTGTTGTCTGATACTTGACAACTAAGAATGAAAATAACACTTGATTTGTTTGTAGACTCATATAGAATTGAATATTGTTTAAGATTCTATTTCATTAATACATTTGTGCAGTTTAAATAAAACATTATGCATAAGGTATGCTATTTTCTAATTTTCCTTTGTAATTAATAGCTATCCAAGGTCTAAGTTTAGGCTTTTATTTTCCCCACTAGAATAGATGGCTTTTCCTATTAATGAAGATAATTTTGTACTAATTATACTGTTGAAAACTAAGAGGAAGAAAGAGCTTTCTTAATAAAATCGGAATAACATAAAATTGTAATTGTATATTTTTCTGTTTATATGAATTAGGATACTAATGGTTTGTTCACAGCATATGTTATCTAAATATGAATTTTAGCTAAAAATGTACAGTCTTGTTTTCATGGGTGATTAAGAATATATGAAACATTTTTACCTTTGTTGTATCCATCCTTAAAGACTCAGTAGACTTCTTACTAAGATTCTGTTTTATCGTCTGCTATGGTCATCAAGATTCTTTAAAATAGTTTTTATAGTAATAGAACCATCTCATTATTTGATGCTCTTATAGATCTCTTTCTGGTTCTGCAAAGAAAGCATTTTCGAGACTCCAAAGACGTTCTGAAGGCACAGAGAGTACCTTATAAAGCTTTATTTTCAGTGTAGGGGGAAGAGTTTCCTACCAAACGGAAGAAGGCAACTTATATTTTGTTTTTAAGCCTTTTAAGCTCCTGACATAGAAATCCAGTCCAACCCCCTTATTCTCCTGATCTATCACCTGTACTTGAGACTTTAAAGAACAGTGATGGGGACGCTGGTACTTGGCCTTTTGAACAAAATATGCAAGACACTTGGCTGAAACTTGGAGCAGAATCTTTTGCTAAAGAGCCCTCTTTTTGTATGCAGACTTAACTATCTGAAGCTTTGTTTGTGTCTCAGACAGTTAAGCTTATCATCCTAGCCTAGGCAGTGTAGTCTTTTGACCACTGTGGTTTCAGGCTTTCATTACTGAGAAATCAACCAGCGTCTTAGGTTTAACTTGTCCTAGCAGAAGAGCAGCGGATACCTAAGTCAGCCTGGCTCCCTCTTGTTATCCTGTTATTAATGCTTTTGGCCTTTTTGAGGATGGGAAAACATTGTGAGGGGTGTTGGGATTAATGATGTGATTCTGAATGTTGACTGTATCCACAGATCCCTTGTTCTCACAGCCACTTGAACAAACATTTGGATTTTCCCAGTGGTTTTTACTTTCATGGTTTTAGCAAAATAAGTCTTACAGACATAAGTTTGAAGTTTATTAAATAGCATGAGAAAGACATTCTCTGTCCTGACCTTGTGGTTTTATCAGAATATACGAAAATATCTTAACTCCGTGTTTGAATTTGTTGCCAATAGATAATCAAAATATTTTGCTGTTTTAAGAAGTCCTAACAGAGACCATGTTTTTAAAAGAAGGAAAGTAGAATGAGGAGTATGGATTCTCTTGAGCACAGCTGTTCTTTCTTCTTTCTTTCTTCTCTGTAATGAAAGGGCTTTCTTTCAGCACCCTTAGTGTTCTCCTGTGTTTCTAGCAGCATAGCTCGAGGCTGCTTTAAATAATGCATTTCTCTAACAAGCTTGGGAAGTCCTGCAGCAGAAAGATACCTGGCTTCTAAATTCTTCCATTGTCAGGTTGGGAGAGGCATTTTGTTTCACAAGTAACATTTACACATCAAGAGGTTTTCATAAGTAGAGTCTTGCCAGCTGGTTCGTGAATTTATTAATCACTTCCTCAACATCTGCCTTGTACTTCCTGTGCCCACTGGATGATTATACTGCTGAGGGGGAGGTCATGCATCTGTGGGTCAGTAGATGCCTGAGAACCAGGACCAGCTCTGCTTGAGGATTCGCTCATTCATTCAGTCAGTAAGCTACTGAGTTCCTGTTGCAAGGTGTGGGGCATACGATGATACACCTTGAATCTATATACTTCTGCCCACCCTCACGGCCACCCCCTTGGCCCAGCCACCAGCCAGAGCTTCCCAGTGGTCTTCCCAGCTTCCTCTGTTGTCCTCTTTCAGTCTAGTCTCCACACTGCGGCTAGCATGATCTTTCTAAAAAACAACTGCATTGCCCATTGAACTGGGGATAAACCCCCAAATCCTTAACACTCCTGTGTGCTCTGGTTCCTCCCACCTCTCCCCTTCTCATCTCATACCACTCTGTCCCCACAGCTTGTCAGCCACACGGCTCTTTCCTATCCTCCCATGACTGGTTAGCTCTCTTTTCAGGGTCCTGTGGGCAAGTGGTTTGTATCCCTGTCTCTTTGCCTGACTGCTCCCACCCAGTCTTCTCATGTCAGGTTAAATGGCCCTCTTCAGAAAGACCTTTCCTTTCCCCAACCAAATGAGGTTCACTTCTCATGCTCTTTTTAGCACCCTGCTTTTTTCCTTCATTACATCTGTAAGTTTATAATTACATATTTATTTGATTATCTGTCTTTTTACTAGACTTCGAGCTTCATGAGGACAGGGACCCTGTCTGTTCTCTTCAGCAGGATGTCCCAGCTCCTGACATAATGTCTGGCACCTGACGGGCTCTGAAATGTGCATGAGTGGGTGGGAGGCTGGGTGGACTGATGAATGAAGGAATAGGACCCAGTCCCTTTCCTCCCGTAGTTTACTCTGGGAGTGAAACATAAGTTAAAAAGCAATTTAAATATAACTTGCTAGATGTTAAGATGCAATAAGAGCAAGAACTGTGGGGACACATTAAGTATTAGGTAGAACTTAGGGCATGGGCTCTGGAACTGGACGGATCTGGAGTCAAATTCTGCTTTACCTCTACAGACCTTTGGAAAAGTTACATAACTTACCAGTACTTCAGCTGCTTCATCTGTGAAATGAGAATATTAATACCTAATTCACTTAATATTTAACTCACAGTTATGTCATAAAAATTCTGTGATAATTTTAACAAGTAAGAATAATGGCTAACATCTAGTAAGTACTTACTATATACTGGGCATTGTTCTAAGCCCTTTAATTGTTTTCAGCTCAATTAATCCTAACAACAAACCTGTATGGCAGTCATAATTATCACTATTTTACTGCTGAGGAAAGTGAAGTCCAGAGAGGCTAAGGAATTTGCCAGAGGTTGTAGAGCTATTAACTCTTAGAGTCAGGATTCAGGGCTCAGTTTAAATCTAAAACCTGTGCTCTGAACCACCATGCCATGCTGCCTTGTAAGTTTTTTTATTTATCTGTGTAACTGTGCATACGCATACAGACAGCAGGTATATAATAAATAGTTTATTTGAATCTTAGTAAAAGATGAAAGTGCTCAGCTTTCTGCTTCTCCAGAGGTATCACATACGTATGGTTTTATCACTAGAGTTCCACAAAGAAAGGATCTTTTAGTCTGAGATGTTCCCTCTGTGAGGGATAAATGCCTGAGAGTTAAATGAAGAATTTTACCCAAATCTTGGTTTTGTTTTAGTCTTTGGCATCTCATATATGATAATACTCACATTAGATTTTTTTTTTTTTTTAATGAAAACCAAGAAGCAACTTGATATCTTTTTATTGATTCTTAATTTTGGTTCATGCGTTGGCGTTTTGTGTTTTTGCCCATCAAAAAATGATCATTATTCAGAATCCTGCTCGTGCAGGTAAAGTGGCTGCAGTGCTCCATAGCCTGACCAGTCCTTACACAAACACATTACATCTGCATGTGGAGTGAAGGGAGTATTTACTGTACTGGCACATAATATGCATAGCAATGGAATAACAGAATTCTCTCATTTCTCTCTTTCATTGTGCACTCACAAAAAATGAGAATCCCCACCTTTGCCTCTTACAAATAAACCCTTCATTTTGTCTTATTTCTTAGCGTTAGCCAGTTTTCATTTCTAAATTATTTCAGTGTACTCATGTCTCACTGTTTGACTTGAAGTTAAATGATTTAATAAACAACAGGTTTTAAAACTTCTTTCATCCCGTGATCTTCTCTGTACTGCATCGTCACCGCTCACCGCGGTGGGAGCCAGCGCCTCTCCCGCGCTGGTTGGTAGGTGTTTCCGAGCCTGGGGGAAGACGTGGCTCACAGAAGGAACACCAGGAACCTGAGCTCTCGGAAAAGAACCCGCTGCATCTGGAAATAGAAATCCATTTTCGCTGTATTTGATGCTGCCAGTCACATTAAATGGTTTTGGAATATTACATTTTTTGACAGGAATAACTTTCTCATTTTACTGAATGTCGTTGAGTTACGTTCATTCCTTTCTCTATCCTGCTTTTGTCATTATCTCGATGAATTCTGAGAGACGTTTTGTACT